AAGTTTTTTAAATTAGATTTAATATAAATTTTGGAATTTCGTCTTCCTTTCATTTCGAATTTGAATTAATTCATGGAACTGCAATAGCTTTGTAAATAATGTTGTTGAACTTTTTTATATAATAATCGATCTTATCTAGGGTGTCTACTTGTTTCGGTAAGTGTAAGTCATTACTTGTGATGGTTCGAAATTTCATCCAATCTATTTGAACATTTATCGGTTTTGGTCGGTTAGTTATAGGCGATGTGATGTTATCGAACGAAATTATGACTGGAGCATGGTCAGAATTTATTTCTGGCATTGATTCTTAGTAAATGAGTTTGTAGAAATTGTTAGAAGGAGATCTAGGATATCTGGTTTAACTGTTTTGTTACACGGGAAAAGAGTTGGGTTGTGGGGGCATGCATTTTAAAATTGTAAATCTCTAAAAATTCTTTACGTTTTTGACCTGGATAACTTGTAGTTTTGCATCCCCAACTACGTTATTTAGCATTGGATTATTTATTTTTATGTCGAAATTTCAACATTATTAAGTTGTAGTATAAATTTTAGAATAGGAATTTTTTCGCTAGGAGGCATGTATATTGTTTGAACTCTATGTCCGTCTACTCTATGTACGATTTGTCTGACCACATTTATCCCTATTACTTCGAGTTCCTTGTTTGAGGAAGTGGCAACTGAGTAGTATGGAGTATTTGACCGGACCATAATATGAACTCTACCGAATGCTTTATTTGCGATTCTATCGTTCCGATACATTCTAAAACCAGAAATTTTAAATTTTGTGGAATAGTGTAGTTGGGTTTCCCTTATTAAAGCCAAAGATCTTTTAAAAATATTTTTAATTCTTCTATTTGTTTAATTACTCCATTGACATTCCAGTTTAAGATGTTTAATTTATTTAAATTATTTTAATCCATTTGTGAGATTTTCGGAGACAATTGATTTTATTGCTGTCTGAAAAAATTCTTTCATTTCGTTTGTTATTAATTCGATAATGTCTCTGAAAGCTTCGTTTGAAGTTTCGCCTTTTTGTTTAGAGTGGCACTTCACCGTGCCTGGAGGTACTTAGTGAATTTATTGCGTTAGCGTAGGAGCGATTATTTGTGCCCTGAGTGGAGCTAATTCCACGAGTTTTAGGCAAACTAGGGAATTTGTTTTAGAGGTCAGATAACACTGAATTTTCTGAAGGTAGATGACAATGTGAAATATTGAAATCTACGTTTGATTTTTTAATTGGACACTTGTCATAACTGTGTGCATTCCTAACCAGTCCGCACATCTAGGAGTTGTCTCTTGATATTTCTTACATTGTAAATAATGATGTGATCCTAGGGATTTTATGCACATGGGTTCACGATTATAGTTAGCTTGAGTGTGACCGTGTCTCTCACATCTCTTACACTCAATTGGGGTTTTGGGTCTATTACTATGATCAAACCTCAACAATTGCTAAAATAAATGGTTTAATTTAAATAGTTCTTCTTTAAACAAAGTTACGATCCAGGTGGATTAAACATATTGGGATTGCAATTTTGTTTTTGTACAATCTGATTGTACTTACAACCGGCTAGTCACGGGCAATAAGTTCACTTGTCATTTCTTCCTCACTATAATCGATGGATATACCTCTAATTACTACTTCTTTGGGTTTTGTCGTTGAATCTTGAAACGAATGAAAATCTATACGTTGTTTTACAAAAACTAGTTATACTTTAAATATCTTTGGAACTGAATGTTTTAATTTTTACAGTTTTGTTGATTTTGGCACTAAAATTGTTCTAATCAGTTTCACATTTTAGATCTGTAAATAACATTTTGTAATATGAATGACATAATGAATTAAAATGGGTGGTGTAGACATTGGTGATTCAGAAATATTAACATCTTTGTTGAATGCGAGAGCTTCAAATCTGTTACTAGATCGAACGGCGTATCGAACGCTGTTTTCAAATATTTTCCCTGCCATAACGTTATTATTTGAGGTAACTGAGGCGAGTCTTTTAGTTTTTGTTGATTTTTTTAAATTAACATCGTCGGTAGGGCCCAATGGTCATTTGCGCGAACCATTGGCGGGCGCGCCATTTGGGTTACGATATCGTTGAATAGTAGTAAATAGGGAGGTTGCTTGAGTTTCTTCAAGCGAGTATGTAACTTCGGTTTATGTGTTTCCTTGACAATCAGATTCACTCTCCATTTGTTGTGAGGGCTCAGGAGTTGGAGAAGTATACAATTGACCGTCAAACGGCAATTCAAAAAATCCGGCCTTGCTGTTCACCACTGACAAGGCTTCTGAAATGCTCTGGCCAAGGCCAGTGCCTGTCGGATATTCGGTGTTGTTTTAGGGCGTAGTAACTCTTAACGAGCGCTGAACACAATCGATAATCATTGTACTAGTGAAAGGCACTTCACCAAATAGACGAACACAATGCACTGAGGTCTGCACCGACACTGGAGCCGTTTCCAGCGCGTTGCGATAAGTTTCGCCGTTAGCAGAGCGCACAAGGAAGCGAGGTTCCGCGGTCGCAGCGAGAATGTGATGGAGATATGCATTCTTTTTGGCTGGGGGGGACTGTTGCGAGTGGGAGAGAAACTCTTTTGAATTTACCTGTTTTGATGCATACTTTTTGGAGTAGATATTATTTCAAAATTAGAGGCTAAAGTCGACTCTTTTTGTTTATCCGTTAGGGCTGTTAGATTATTCGCTTTTAAGGGAAGTGATTGATTATTTTCATTAGTTAATGTTTTCCATAAGTGTCTAGATCCTTTCGGTACTAAGCAATAAAATTTTGAAACCAATTAAATCCATGTTCGTCTATATTTGCGTTTATTTTTCTTTTTAGTTTGATTTAGTTTGCGTTTCATACATGGATATCGCGTTTTCTGACATTTCCGTCCTAGTATTCGTTTTTCTTTAATTGATAATAAACACGGGCGTTTTAGCTACTTTCCTATTGTTATTTGTTATCGGCTTGTTGGCCAATATTGTTACTAACCATATTGCCTTCGTGAATTTACTTGTTTTATTAATACTTTCAATTGTTTTAGTTGATTGGGATATGTATACAAAATGTTCCGTGTAAATCAAATTTTTCTCAGTTTATTTTATCGTGTACTAATTTAGCTAGTGAATCCGAGTTTGCAATTTGAGATTTAAAGCTTATTATTACAGGACAATGGTCTGAATCAAGATTTGCTGTTACATATTGATATAATGGGATATGAACGTTATTAGATATCGTTACGTCCAGGATGTCTGGAATCATATTCTGGTCGTAACGATAAAGCGTGGGTCCTGGCGGTGTATGTATATCAGCATTATTGTTTTGTAAGAAATTAATTCTGCTTAATATAAGTAAGTTTTTCTCCTGCTTAATTTGTTGAGTTACAGCCCAATACAATATTTCTGCATTTTAAATCTCCCTCAATTATAGTTGGTGTATTAGTATTTAGAATGCTTTTTAGCGTATTGTCTGGGAATGTTTTATTTGGTGGTTCATAAGCTAATATTATTGTTATGTCTTCATGAATTCAGCTGATTTGTATACAGACGGTTTCTAGGTATCAAGAGTGTGGTATAATTAGTTCATGATGTTGAATGATTTTTTTAATTATTATCGTTACTCCCGCAGATGTCTTTTCTACTTCTCTATCCTTTCTGTAGGTTTCATACCCTGGAAGGTCACTAAGGAGATGGGTTTCGGTTATGCGTACAATGTCTTATCTCGTTTTCTTGTCTTTTAAGCCCGTTTGCATTCCAGTGTAAAATTTTGATATTGTTTGTTTTCATTTCTGGCATTACAAATTCTTGGAATATTTGTTTCCAAGTATTTTCTACGTGAGATATAATAGCTGCGATTCTTCTTATTACAATTTCTGTAATTTGGATTTTAGTTATGCTAACATTTGAAGGAACCGTTTCCGAGAAATTTGGTATGTGTGATCTTTCCGGTTGGAGAGGGAATTCTATCTTTTTCAGTGGTCTTCCTTCGCCTCGTTTATCTTTTATAGCATGAATTAATTCAGGTCTGGTTTCTCCTGTCCATGATTTTGATGTTGATTTGACCCTCAGTGAGTGAGAATTAAAATTACCGCTGTTTAGCTGTTTCCTTGAATGCCAAGCAACCCCGGTAGTTGGCTGTGTGTTTACCTTGGCAGCTAACAAAAACAAGGGGTGAACTTTTACTGATTTTGCCCTCTGAAGAAAGGTGCTTACCTGGGCATAACACATCTAGGTTCTAAATAGGAGTTAGTCCTATCCCTTGGCAATTTTTACATCGAATTGCTTTGTTGTTTACTTGAGCATGGAATCTTATTGTACAATGATCGAAGCGATTAAGATGTAAACTGTTTCTAGAATTTGTTTAGTCTTTTAGTTCCACTGCAAACATGTTGATAGGCTTTTTATATTTATTATATAACCTAGGACACTTTTACATTATAGTTTAGGTCTGTTAGACCATTATACATTTCTTGCGCTGAATATGAATAGAGAATGTCTTTTATTAGTTTTGAAAATGTTTTTGTAACAGGGCCCCTAAAGTACGTAAATAGTATCTTTCTTATTTCTAGAAAATTTTTGAATTTCCGCTAATCTTCAATTTCCGTTAGATTTATTTTTACTCCATTATTTTATAAACGGGTGTTGAAGTCACATTGGGCTATTTCTCTGATGTCTTGTAAGATTAAAGAAAAGTTTTCTGCATAGTGCACTATATTTGGGGGGATTTTTTTAAATTCTTAGTTCTGTCTGAATTTACTACAGGCATCTCCAGAAGTTTTAAAACCAGTCTTTATTTCTGTTAATCTCGTTCATTGGTTTACTGGTTTGATTACTAATATTTTAATTTGTCTCTTCACAATACTCGTCCCCTCGCCGGGCGCGCTTGTACGTACCTGTTCGTTTCCGGTGAGTACGAATTTGATTTTTCTTTTTCCGAGCAACCTTCTTTATCCCAGTCTTCAGTTCAGAATGTTTGCTGTTGGGTGCCCGTTTTTACTTGAACTGGTTGTTGATATGCTGCATGTAGAATCGCTGTTGGAAGTTCACCATCTGGTATCTGATGTCCAAGTTGCGAGGATTACACTAGATTTGGATTTTGCACAAGATGATGCACAAAACCCTGAACACTATTTTGCATTAAACTGCCACTTTAACACTGATTAATTAATATTGTTTCATTAGAATCACTGGTAGTACAATTAAGCAGTTTCATAGAACTACCAATTAGCTGCCCCGTGTCGGGGAAGCTACTCCCTAACATTGCCACAACCTTTCCTTCACTGACCGCGAATACATCTGAGCTCGTAGTTTTCGTTCTTCGTTCGCTAGAGTGCGCTGCTCGGCGTGGATCGCTCGAGAGCGCGCCAACGAAATGTTTAAAGCCACAGATGTTTTGCCGTCAGACGATATTTTGGTATCAACAACCCACTTCACATGGATAATCTGGCTGCACAAGTGTTATAGGAAGTAAATTCGAGAAAGTAAAAATGAAGGGACTCGTTGAAGCAAACCATTGTTTTAAATAGGTTCGATCCAACAATGAGATAGAAAACCGCTGGTGTAGACAATATTTTTCAGGAAGTCATTTTGAAGAGTAGAATTCGGAGTTATTAATTGCTCCAATTGGTGAAAAAGTAACACTTCTCAGTAGATATTTAAGACACGTGTTACCTCAACAACTTCAGTACCACAAAATTCTACAATCAGAATAAAGATTTGGAATTTTCTTATAATTTACAGTCGTTACAAAACACAATGATGTCAATGAATAAGCTTTTTCTAATTTATTACAGCTTTATTCACATTCCCAACACCGATCTGACTTTGATTATGATGACGTTCTCTAAAGGCTTCTAAGTATATTTTAAATCGTGTGGTATTTGTTTATGGTATTTCTTTAATCAAATTGTTTTATAACATTTTTTAATCGCCTCTCAAATTTCAGCAGATTTTGTTGGCACAGATCGCTAGTTTGTTAATAGAGAAAATCCAGCTTCACCCTAAACAGATTTAGTGTGTGCTGGTTTTCTTTACGCTGCTGTTGTAAAGGGCAAAGTAAAATGCACGTACTATGTATTTTGTTAAGTATAATCGAGTATTTTACATTGGAACAGAAACATTTTTATTCTTTAAAATACATCCCACTCTATATCGTTGTCAATCACTCAAGGAATAAGTACGTTGTATTTTTCAGGCCCCAAGCGCTACTCCTCTAGTTAAATATACTTACCTGACACTCACTTACCTTAGACCCACACCTAAATGTTATACCAGGTATCCTGGTTAGTATGTAAATAGTACTGAAAACGATATCACCTCGACTTTCTATTTTGCTTTCAAACAAAACAGTCGACTTATCACAACTTTACACTTGAATAGTCGGTGATGTTGTGCATCTCGCATTGGTAATAAAATATTTGTATGCCTGCTTCAGTGTGCAGGAACAAAAGATATTTAAATGTAAAATTTGCTTGTATGCAAATGGTTTATAAGATGTTTCCTTTACGTCGTGAAAGGTTTCATTTGAAGTTTGTCATAATTATTTTCGATTAACGACATAAAACACATTTGGAAAGTATTAATCAATAATCCACACAAAATGTATGTAGATATTTTTTTTCGTTATATCTATTCAATAACATCTTCAACATATGACCAATGCTATTTCGAAGAGTAGTTACCATTACGAAGTACTTCACTCTTACGAGTACATCACGCTCAAAACACTTCTTCCAAATTCCTAAGACAAATCGTTACGAGCCGTTCCACTTGAATGGTTTATTTTTTCTCAAAATTACAATGAATGTCCTCAAAAAGCAAATGGATTAGTAATTGAGATGTACACCTTCATGGAAAGCAATGTGTTAGTGTCTTAAAGTAGTTCAACAGTATACGAAGAATTGCCATTGATTATTTTACTTACCTTATTCTCAACTCTCAATGCAACTTGTGAATGGATATTTAGTGAGGACAGGTTACCTTCAGGCCGATGAAGTATGTGCCAATATAAAACGAGAGTTCTTTATAATTTGTTGTTATTAATCGAAAGGAAATGGTTATGTAAAACTGAAAAGCTTATATGTTAGCTTAACTTTTTAATCACAAAGTCATAGCATGTGTTAATAACATCCTCAAATCAAATATCAGGCATTGACTACAGCGCTGTTGCTCAGAACAGTTTCAGCGATGAAATCCCTTATTCATTTGATCGGATGGGATATGAGTGAGCAGAGGAAAACATGTCTGCATTTGATTGCGATGGTCCTGCGAATAAACACGAGTTCTGGGCCCCTATCTGCGCCATCATTCAATCAACGGAACATGGAGGGCCGCTGCGAACACAGAAAGGGTGTGCCATCCACTATAATATCGCATGTCTCACCGAAGCGCTGGCAGATGAGCAAGATGGAGTACTGTCAGAGGGGTATTCCACACTGCGCAGATTTGAGCAGCGTCTGAAATCTATTCCAGGAATGTGTTGATTTCTCAGAACTTGAAGATGGAACAGTGAGGAGGCGTGAGGTGTATTTCAAAACCGTTGTCGATAAGACGCATGGGGGTAGAGATCACATTCAGGTCACAGAAATATGCAATAGTGAGACCTCGTAACTCCAATGCTTGTACCACCTAACTTACCTTCCGTTACCATCTGTGACAAATATAAGACTGTCGTTGAATTACTTCAGATCCTGAAGAAAAGAGTCAGATCGCGCAAAGTTCCATTACAATAAATATAGAAACATTGTCACTACAGAACATATAATTAATGATCTAATATTTGTTCTCGTTAATCATATACGATAATAAGAAGCTTATCGTATAATTGTTATAACGAATACGATATCCATTCACTAAACGTCGAACATGACAGAACAAGAAAGTACTATCCTATTTTAATATTTGCATATTTTAACACATAGGTTCAACTTATTCGCAAATTATTTAGCAACTCACAATGCGAAAAGACAACTTTATAAAAAGTATGTACCTAAACATCAAATGAATGCATAACAGAGTAAAATACATTCAAAATACGGACACATCAAAGAATAACACACTCCAATCATTCGCAAATATGACAAATTACAAAACATGGATAAGAAATAAAGGATAGAAAAAAGGTCGTACACATTGGTAGATATTAAGTACAACGGGCATTACATGAATAAAAATTGCTATAACACAGCGTTTACCTTTACAAACATTGTTTATTGAATCAAGCTGGGGTGGGGTAGTACTTGGAAACGTATAACTATAATTTGTTACATAAAGTTGTGGGGGTATGCTGCATGACTAGCATACACGTGGAACTAGCATAATATAAGCACATGAAACATAACATATGTCACAAGGATTGATGTTACTTCACAACAACATTATGATATGAGAAACAAAGTACAATACATTCAGTCGAACGCTAAGCAGGTGTATAAGTGAGATTAATAAATTCTGGAAAGCTGCGCAAACATGTCGGGGACTTCTCTTCCGAGCCACAGCCAAAGAGACTAACTTCCAGTGAAGCGCCGCGCCGGGGCACGTCCGCGTGACGAGAGGGCACATCCACCGGCGAGCTGACCTCCAGGTAAACAGTCCACACAGCGTTTACAGGAAGCTTACCTTCTACACGTCTAGAGTTCGGTGTTCACATTCCACCAAAGAGAGAGCATCACCCACAAAACACGGAACTGTTCAGATGCGAATTTCTGTATCCAGCGAAGATTGCTCACTACACACAGGTAAAAGCTAACATAAAACTTATGAGACATCTTTTTTGTTTCTGCATGTTATCACTATAACATTTGATAAGTAATTTACAGTATGGTTACAGTACATAGTCTAGTCGCACACTTTTATGTCAACGTTTACTCTTTTTACTTGTCTTAAAAAGTCATGAAACAGAGTTCTTCCTCTTTTTTTCTTTTTTTTTGTTGCTATATCGATCTACAGTTTTACAACGTCATACTTTGCTATTCACAATGCGAAAATTATATATTTTCCATGTGTTTTACCCACGAAAGTATGTACAAACTGTTTGTGTGTGTGTGTGTGTATATTACAATATGTACAAAAATAAATACATCGCAGGCGGGCGCGGCGGGCTCGCCGGGCGAGCGGGCGGGGCGGGGCCGGGCGAGTTCATCTATGCCGACGCTCGCCGTTTCGCCGCCCTCCACTCCACAGGCCGCCCGCCCCTCGGATCCACTGCTCTACGCCTGTCCTGCTCCCCGCCCCTGCTTCCTCAGTCCGCGGCATCTCTGCTCTACCCTTTCCCTGCTTCCCCCGCCCCCTGCTCCTCAGTCCGCGGATCTACTGCTCCCCTTTCCCCGCGCCCGCGCCCCCTGCTCCTCAGCCTGGATCTACTGCTCTTCCCTTTCCTGCTCCCCCGCCCCCTGCTCCTCAGTCCGTGATCTACTGGCCTCTATCCCTTGTCCCTGCTCCCCCGCCCCCTGTCTCCTCCAGTCCGCGGATCTAACTGCTCTACCCTTTCCCTGCTCCCCCGCCCCCTGCTCCCAGTCGTGGATCTTTACTGCTCTACCCTTGCCCTGCTCCCCCCGCCCCCTGCCTCCTCAGTCGCGCGGATCTACTGCTCTACCCTTCCCGGCTCCCCCCCCCTGCGCCTCAGTCCGCGGCATCTACTGCTCTTACCCTTTCCCTTGCTCCCGCCGCCCCCCTCTCGCTCCTCAGTCCGTGGATCTAGCTGCTCTCCCTTTCCTAGCTCCCCGCCCCCTGCTCCTCAGTCACGTGGATTTCTACTGCTCTACCCTTTCCCTGCTCCCCGCCCCTGCTCCTCAGTCCCGCGATTCTACTGCTCTTTACCCTTTTCCCTCTCCCCGCCCCCCTGCCTCCTCAGTCCGCGGATCTTATTGCTCTACCCTGTTCCCTGCTCCCCCCGCCCCCTCTCCTCAGTCCGTGGATCTACTGCTCTACCCTTTTCCCTCTCCCCCGCCCCTTGCCTCCTCAGTCCGCGGATCTCACTGCTCTACCTTTCCCTGCTCCCCCAGCCCCTCTCGCTTCCGTCCAGTACCGTGTAGATCTACTGCGTTTGACTC